GGCTGGCAGGACCTCGGCGGTCAGCGATCGTCGGCCGCCGCGGCGCAGCGCTCGCGCGCCGAGCGCAGGCCGCCAGGGCCCCCGCGGGCGGTGAGACGGATGGCCCGCTGGACGAAGCCCTGGGCTTCCCGGCGCGAGGCGCGGCGGCGGCTTCCCAGTTCGGGCAGAGCCTCCCCCAGGGGGCTGCGGGGCCCCCCCTCCTCCTCCTCCTCCTCCTCCTCCTCCTCCTCCTCCTCCTCCTCCTCCTCCTCCTCCTCCTCCTCCTCCACGAAGGCAAACCCGTTCCAGAGCGTTCTGCAACGCTGTCGGAGCTTTTGGGAGCGCTCTGAGAAAGCCGCCGCGCCCGAGGCATCCTCCAGAGCCGGGCGGATCTCAGAGGTCCTCGATGTTGGCCCTTGCCCGGACGTGTCCTCGTCCTTTATTCGTTTTGCAGGAGTTCTTGTTGGACGCTCCTGGGGCGCCCGAGAGTTCTTGCTGGTCCTTGGAGATTTTTGCTCGTATCGGGGTGCGTTCCAGCATCCGCGCCTCGGTGAGGGCTTTCCTGGGGTAGAGTCACGCGCAGAAGGGGGTGGGGGGGGGGAGCGGGGAGGGTTTCTTAGAAGCACCCCAGCTTCTTAGAAGGCGCGGGCCTTACTTACAGATGCAAGGCCGTCGCCTTCTAAGATGCAACCTCCTTCTACCTCCCTCCACCCCCTTGTGCGCGCCGCCACGGAGTACCTGGATGGTCCCGAACGGCCGCCAGAGAAGCCGACAACCACCAGGCGTCGAAGAGGGGAGTGAGGACTATGGGTGCGTTGATATCGTGCTCGGGGCAATGATTCGAAGAAGAAACAACGCCATAAACATAAACTTTGGGCGCTCCGCGCGGACTTCTCGGATCTGCGCCGGAGCGCCAGAAGTTGATCTTTATGGCATTTTTCTTCTTCTAATGATGCCTCCGAGGTGTCATGGCCCGTCCGCCCGCGCACGTGCTTCTGGACCATGATGCGCCCACCACCCTCTTCGTGGCCCAGCCTGAGTGGGTCTTGGAGACGACAGGGCCGTTTTGTTTTCAGGTTTCGACGGGCAGCTTTCTTTTTGCAGATCCAGGGCCGTGGTTCGTCCAGATCCGTCGCCGTTTGTTTCCTGGCTCCAGCTCTGGTTCCAATCCCCGAGCCGTCGTTTTGCCGTTTTCGACGGGCCGTTGTTTTGTTCACGACCAGGATCGTTGGAGACTGCAACAAAACGCACCGCCGTTTCCAAAAGCCACTGTAAGGGCCCAATCGCTCGGCGCACCCACAGTCAGGAGGGAAAAGAACACACAGGCACAAATAGTCGTCGACTCCCAGGGTTGCGCTCGGTCGGTTCGGCTCGGTCGGTTGTCGTATCGTCACTGCGCCGCTGAGCCCTTTCAGGCTGCCTGTGGCCTTTCTGTTTAGGTCGGATTCGGTGTTTCAGGGCTCAGTCGGTTGTTGCTTGTGGTGTCGTCGTTGATGGCGTCGCATTTGGAAAGGCCATAGTGTGAGGAGGGATGGAGTCGAAGAAAAGGAGACTGGTTAAACATAATGTTTGGGAGTTCGGTGCGTATTTCCTGGGTCGGCGCCAGACACCCCTCCCTGGCGCGCGAAGCGTGTCAGGGGCGGCGCTGGAGACGCCGCTCGGGGAGTCAAGCGCCGATCCAAGAAGTCCTCGCAGACCTCTGACAGCTTTTGCTTATGCCGTTGTTTTTTCCTCTGGGGAGGATGGGAAGGAGGGAGCCTGAGTCACAAGCATTCATGATGGCCTGCAGGCAGGTGTCAGCAATGATACAGTTTTGGGCCGGCGGTCAGCTTTCTTGGGTTGGGCCCGTTCTCGGGAGGAAGTGGCTTCAAGGTTCAGGCTTTTCAGAGGGGGTGTGGGGACAGAGCTCCAGACCACAGTGTCTGTTCCTCTGTCATGCTGCTCTCACGTGTTCGAGCGAGTCCCTGAGCTTGGAATCCGCGTCTGAGTGCCCTCCGCCTCCTCCCATCCTTCGCGGCCGCCCTGTCTGTCTAGTTCTGCCCTCTTGCACGCCCGCCAATCAGCGTAGCGGGCGCCCCGATCGCCAGCCCGATGGAGCAGCACTTCTGCCTCGCCGCCGACGGGAATGTTTTTGAGCGAGTCCCCACGCCCCCTCCCAGCAGCCAACGCACCGAGACACCGAGACGGAGATGCTTCTCGCCGTCCCAGGCTCTCCGGGAGCCCTCGACGGGCCAGCACCGGCGGGAACGGCCCAGGCCTGCCCTGCTGTGAGGGCCCAGGGCTATAGGGGGCACCCCGCAGCGACCAACACGAGGCGTCGGACCCGTGGGCAAAGGGCCACATCGTGCGGACCGCGAGGAGAAGCCAGGCCCTGAGCCCTCGATCGTCCTCCTCCTCGGTGCTCGCCGCCTGATCACATCGATCGTCCTCGATCACCACCGAGGATGACGAGGATGCGGAGTCTTTTTGAGTGTTTTTTTTTTTCAGGAGGGGGAAAAACACACAGACAATGAATCGTCGATCCCCGAGAAAATATGGGAAAACATGGGAAGTGGTGGGGAAGGCAGAAGCCCAGAACATATAGGGAAATAGATGACATCTTTCTTCATTTGTGTGTATTTGTTTGTGTGTCCCAGGGCCCCTTCTTTTTTGCACACCTGACTTTCTGCCGCCCTCCGTGCCCGGCATGCCCGCCGGTTGCGCACGGGCAGCCCCCCGGTGGGCCCTACAGCTCGCCCCACGGAGGCGGCAGCCACGTGAGGCCCCCAAGACGCGCACAGCCCTGGGGCGCCCGTGGGGCGCGCGGCGCCCCCTCCTCCTCCTCCTCCTCCTCCTCCTCCTCCTCCTCCTCCTCACACAGGCGCCGCCGGAGGCGGCGCCGGCCAGGACCCCCTGGCGCCCGCCGATGCGGTCTCTTCCCGGCTCGGCGGCGAGCGAAGGGGGGGGGAGGTGAGGAGGAGAGGGCCTTCTCAGAAGGCTCGGAAGTCCCCCGGCCTCCGGAGAAGTGTTCTGAGCCTCTCCCTCTAGCAAGTGAAGGCGTAGAGAAGACGTGCGCCAGAAGGCGCGCGGGCTTCTGAGAAGTCCCGCCGCCTTCTGAGAAGGCCGTCTCCTTCTCGCGTCCCCCCCGCGCCCGCCGCCGAGTAGTGGTTCGTGTCGGATCCGTGTTTGCATGGCCTGCAGGGCCCGATCACTGGCCCTGGAGGCCGAAGGCGGGGAAGCGACGCCGACGGAGGAGAGCAGGATGCTGCAAGGCGTACCGGGTGAGGCAAGCCCGGGCACAGCCCGCGAGCATTGCCGCCCTTTTGCGCTCCCCGTGTGACAGAGCGTGAATTCGCAGGCCGCACAGTGTGAGTTCCCCGTTTGTTTTCCCCCTAGTGTGACAGTTCGTAGGCCGCACCTGGTCTCGCTCGCGTCTTGAGCGAGAGCGCGGCATGGTGATGGTACCGGCGGTCTTCTTCGAAGACCGCGCCGCTTGGGGCACAGGCCCCTCTACCACCGCCTCCTCCTCCTCCTCGGCCTTGCCCTCCTCGCCCTCCCCAATTTCCTCCTCGCCGACCGCCCTCCTCCTGCTCCTCCTCCTGCTTCCTCCGCCTCCTCGCCCTCACCCTCCTCGCCCTTTCGCCCAGGGCTCGAGCTGAATGGTGTTTTTGTTGCGATTGCGTGGGCCGTTCCCGTCTCGACCGCGTCCCGCCGCAAGGGCACCCAGGACGAAGCCGCAAGGGAAGGGTAGCGAACGCAAGACGACAGCGGAAAACACCGGTCAGGTCTGGGCAGCGGGAGCCCTCGGGGCGTGCTGCCGCCTCCTGTGCTCGCCGCCCTGGCCGGGCGCGTTCTTCCCCGAGGCACCGCGGGCCTCCCGCTGGTGCGCCGCGTGGCTTCTTCTGCTCGTTAAGCTAGAGCTTACGTCGGGTATGTCCCTCTACAGGAGGCACACTCTCAGGAGGGGAAGAAACACACAGACACAATTAATCGGCGATCCCCAGAAAATATGGGAAAATATGGGAAGTCGGGGGGAAGACAAAAACCCAGAAAATATGGGAAAATATGGGGGATACTTTTATTTGTGTGTATTTATTTGTGTGTCCCAGTTCCCCTTCATGCTCAAAAGTAGCAAAAAAGATAGCCTGGAGACGACTTCTCGAATCATGTGTGACCGTTGTGGAGTTTTCATGTTTCGTCCGAAACCCGCCCGTGGGGGGACGCGCCCGACCGAGCTCGAGCCCTGCTTTCGCCCGCCTCCTCCTCGCTGGCCGCCCCGTGTGGAGAGAGAGACCGCTCGGCCGCCTCCCGCCCGCCCCGCGGCCCCGCCAGGCGGCCGGCGCTCGAGGGCCCACGGGTCCGGGCGGGCGGCCCGAGGCAGGGGCGACTCCAGGGGCTCGGGCAGGAGTCGCGGGGAAGGGTTCGGTGTCGTTGAAGGGATCGCCATGCCCATCTCATCTCCATCCCCGTCCAGATCCCCACCATCCGGCCACCCCGGCCACCCTGGTTGGGGGTATGCCCCGGGAAACTCGAAGGGAGCAGCCTTTCTCGCCATCTAGGGGGACAAATCGGCCAGCGTGGCCCCAGGGCCACGCCCGTGGGGGTGGGGATCGGTTGAACGATGCTCCAAGAATGCAGGCACAGCAGAGGATCACAGCCACAACTGAGCTCAGCTGCCCTGAGATGCCCAGGGGAGGACAAGGCACCCCTGCCCTCTGCCCTTCGCCCTCTTCTCCCTTTCAGGGGTCTCTTGAGAGGCCCTCGTCGCCACCGGCAGTTCCGCCCTGAAGTTCTTGTCAGAACGCACCCCAGGAGAGGTCCGGGTAGTAGCGGTGTCGGTACATGTTTGGCTTCCCCATATACGCTCGTTTTGAAACGCACCACGTACCTCTAGGTCTCCCGAGTGGGGTCCGAGTAGATGGGGTCGAGAGATCGCGCCGCATCGCCGATGTGGCGGCGATGTGTCTCGATGTGGAGCCCGATTTTCTCCACGCCGACGGCGCCGATGCGTCGCCGACGTCGCCAGTGAATGGCCAATGCATCGGCGATGCATCGCCGATGCATCGGCGATGCGGCGCGATCCTCCGGCCCCATCTACTCGGACCCCATCCAGGAGACCTCACCAGCACCGTGTTCAAAACATGGGAATTGACACGCGCCAGGACTACGTGTTCAGTCTACGCGTTGAGCTTCGTGCCAACACGCTGCGGGTTGTGTGTTGTGTATCGGGGGAGCCAAGAACCAGGCAAAACAAGGAACCACAACCACAATCGAGTGGGTTTTTCTGGAACGCCCCTCAGGGGAGAACCTTGGGCGTCGCGTACCAGGGGGTGATACATGGGGCTGTAGAGAAGGGCTTACGGGCCGCTACATGGCTTCTTTCAGGTCCAAAGGGGGAGCTTTTAGGGTCCAGAAGGTGCACCTATCGCCCTCCCATGAAGCGCCGCCCAAAAACCCGCCGACGCCGACATGAACTCTCTGGATATGGTTGTGGTCGATTTGGCCGTCTGGGACGCCCACATCGACTACCACCAGTCCCAGGCTGGTTTCTGTGTTCTGACGATTGCTGGCATGCGCAAGACACCCCCAGGGTGTGTCCTCGATGTGGTGTTGTGGTCGCTTGCTGTCTCCGCACACACCGGGACCGTGACCAAGATGTCGCGGGATCTTGCCGACGCCGATCTTTGCCATGGTCCATGCTGGCCGTCGCCGATCCGCGAGGATGAACGACGATTCGACGTTGACCAAGATGGACGGTGACCATGATCGACACCGACGTTCCGCGTTCAATCTTGGTCATGGTCCTGGTTTTTGTGTTCCCCCTCCAAGGAGGGCGGCGAGAGGCAGGGACGATTCCAGGGGCTCGGACAGGAAGGCGGCGAGAGCCAGGAGCGACTCGAGAGGCTCGGACAAGAAGGCCGGCAGGGGCCGGCCGGGCGAGCCAGCCCGCCGCCCTCCGCTCTCTTGTTGTCGTCCACGTCACCCTTCCTCGTCCGCGTCGTCTCGCCTGCTTCCCGTGCTCATTCTTGTCCCCGTCGTCCTCGTCTTCGCCCTCCTCTGCCTCCCTCGTCATCCTGCTCGTTTGCCCGCCGCCTCGATACCCGCCGATCCGCCCTCACTCTTCGCCCTTTCCTCCCTGCCTGTTCCTCCCTCACTCTTCGTTCTCTCCGTCTCCCTCCGGGCCCCCCACTTCCCTTTCCGTCCCTCCCTAGTTTGTCATTGTTATTATTTTCCTTCTGCATCCCTCCACCCGCCCCTCCTCGATCCTGACTCCTTGCGCAACCTCGCTGTCGACGGCCGATTGTCCCTTCAGGGCGGTAGCGTATGCAGCGGGGTGGTTTTCGCCCTTCGGAGCGGTGCCACATGATAGCTCAACGCATATGTTCTCACTTCCCCTTTATGTGGCCTCATCCTCACCCTCTATTGTATTTCCATCCAACCTCATCCATCTTCACCCCTCTCCCCCTCCCCTTCACTCGTCTCCTCCTCCGCCACGCTCCCTTATCGTCCCTCGTTGTGCTACTCCTCTTCCGCATTATCTTTGCCCTCGTTCTCCTATGACGTCACCCTGGTTTCCCGTGGTCTCACGCGAACTGTCACGCTTATCTGTGGATTGCATTGTCCTTGATCAGTCGTGAGTGTGTCGGTTGGCGTCACTCCACTGCGCAGTTGGATAACAGGAAGGGTAAGGGGAAGGATGTGGAGTAGGAGTTGTGTAAACAGCACTGGTTGCGGCAAATTTGTTCGTTGTTCGAGGGTGTGTTTGGTTTATTGATTGTTGAGTTGATGTTGCGGACTAGTAGCTTGTTGGGCGAGTTCAAGTGTGCGTTGCTCGCGTTAGGCGCCTCCATCACGATCCTCCTCAACATCATCACTGTTTGTTATTCGTCGGCGACGCTTGTCGGGCAGTCTGCGCTCGCATGTGGGCAATCGCTGGCTCGGCTCGGGGCTACCATGCTCCAACGATGAGACATACATGAAACACTGCACAACATCCAGACCCGAGATCCAGACCCCGTCTTTCTGCTGCACTGTTCGGGCTCGATCGATCTGTGATGGTCGATGGTCTCAAGGCCCGATGCCAGGCGAAGACGCCCGATGTAAAACAAAAATCGCAACCCATGGATTTGTGGAGTCCAAGTTCGGAGTGGCACGGCGCCGGAAGGGCGTGCGAAGGCCTCTCGAAAAATTCTGGAAGCTCCTGGAGAGAGCTTCCGAAGGAGCTTCTGGGGAGCTTCCGGGCAGGCGTATGTTGGGAGATTCTTAGAAAAAGGCCTCTCGGGACACGCTGCCGGCTCAGGCAGGAAAAGATATCTCAATTGGGTGAACAAAACCTATTATTTTATTATCGTTAATCCAAACGCTCAGATCTCGGGGCCCATTACCACCTGCGGGATGAGACAGCGCACCGTTGGCCGCGCACGGGCACAGCCTTTCGGCAGGGACAGCGTGGCCAGCACTTGGGTGCGGACGTCCGGTTCTCCTCTGGCCCACCCTCTGCACGTCGGCCGCGAGCGAGGTGGGGCACGTGCGGAGGCGCGGACCTTCTCGGAGGGCTCGGAGGTCCCCCGGCCTGCCGGGACGGTTCCTCGGCCCTCCCCGCAGACGCAGAAGGGCACTTCACAGAAGGCGCGATGGGGCCTCTGAGAAGTCCGGCCGCCTTCTGAGAATTGCCTGCTCCTTCTCACGTCCCCCCCCTCGCTCGCCGCCGAGCACGCACTGGCGAGCGCCCACAGACATCCGGCCGCTCCAGTTCTCTGTTCGCTGCGCGGGCCCCCCCGGGGGTCTGGACCACTTCCGCATGGGCCGGTCTGTCGCCCCGAGCCGTCGCCGGACGCTCCCGCGAGGCCCGGCGAGGGCCCCAGGAGGCCGAAGACGGCCAGAGACCCGCCGCTTCAAGTGTTGTTGGGGCGTCGGGTCTCTGAATACGTCGGGCGTGTCCCTCTACAGGCCGATTCCGGACGAAAAAGTTAGAAATAGCCCAAACATGCCCCCGAGACATCAAAAGATAACCAAACAAGAACTAGTCCCTGGACTATCGTTCGACTATTTTTGGATATTCCTCCTCTAGAGGGACAGGCCCGACTTTGAGTCTCTGGGGCTGTGGAGGTGCCGCGGTCGGCCGAGCGGAGCAGCCTCGCCTCGAGCCGCCCCGCCAAGGGGGCGCTGCACGGCACGCCACGCGGCGCGGCGCCGCACGGCGTCGCGGCAGCGCGCGGCACGGCTGCACGGCTTCATCGAGCAGAAGGCAGCCCCGAAGCCTTGACAGCACAGCGAGCTCGTGGCCCCACTGCGGTCCTCGGCTTCTTTCTTGGCATCGCTCGGACGTGTGCACTCTTCCTTCGGCGAGGACCATCGAGGAGCATCCTTGATCATTTGGCGAAAAAATGCGCACGAAACAGACAAAAGAACACAGGAAATGGACGTCCGAGCGATGGCCAGCTTAGGGCCATCCCTGGACATGCATGTGGGTGGCTTCGTCCGAGGCGTCAGCCACAAAAAGACCCCCCTGTCCCTGATGTCTGGGGCCCTCCTGACTCAGGTCCAGGGGTCGACCTAAACAACGGTGTTTTGGCGATTTCGTGGGCCGTTTGCGTGTCGATGTCGATGTGCAGCAAAGGCGGCTTGAAGACATAACCAGAGAAACCGAAAACTAACAACATGATCACGAAAAGTACTGTTTAGGGCCGATCTCTGCTTACGTCTCCTCCCGAAACACTATGGGGTCCTTCGATTGCTCTTCACACTGGGCGGCGCATCCGGACGCGATCCGCTGCCACACGCCGCGGGTGCCGCAGCCGATGTGCCGTCCGGTCTTGCAGGACGAGGCCGAGCGCAAGGCGGAGGTCGAGCGCAAGGCAAAGGTCGAGCGCCTGGCGAAGGAGCGGGGGCCGCGAGTGGCGTCTATTCGGGGGTGGCCAAAAGGGGGGTGATGACTAGGGGAGGGGGGATACCATGGCGTGGGCCGTCATATGTCCCCAGATTTCAGGGAACGATACGTTCGATACGACCACAAGGTGCAAACAGGAGGATGAGGCGGAAGCGGAGGTGGAGGAGGGTACGTCCCGTGGTATGTCTTGCTTCGATATTTTCCCTGGCCCCCCTGGTCTGCGCACATGCCTCGTGCCGCGATTTGCCTCCCCCCCGCGTGGACGCCCACTTCCCAGACGCCCCCGATCTGTGCACTCTGCTCTCCGTGTTACTTTGTTTGCTCCGATGGGGGAGGAGCACTGCGCTACGATTGGCGGCATATCGCGTGCGACCTCTGCGGTCGGCCCCAGTCCGGGCTGACCCATCTTGCCGTCATGTGGCGACAGTCTCGGGTCTCATGCGCGCCAGCCTGGAGCCTTTCCGACGCCCTCACGCGGCCTCTCGGGCCACCTCCCCGGGGCACCTTGGGGCCCATCTTGGGGCTGCGTTAGGGGCCCCCGAGTTTGGGGGCCCCTTGTGTGTGGCCCCTTCGGGCCATTTACATGTGGTCCGCTCGGGTGGGCGCTCTGGCCCGCGCGTCTCTTGGTGGGCGCTCTGGCCCGCGCGTCTCCGGGGCACATTGGGCAGTCTTGGGGCTGCGTTGGGGCCCCCGAGGCTGGGGGCCCCTTGTGTGGGGCCCCTTCGGGCCATTTATGTGGTCCGCTCGGGTGGGCGCTCTGGCCCGCGCGTCTCTTGGGGCCACGCCGGGGCCGTTTTCTCGGCTCTCGCGGGGGCCGTGGGGGCCGTCGCGGGGGAGGAGGAGGAGGGGAGGAGGAGGAGGAGGGGAGGGGGAGGAGGAGGATGAGGAGGAGGAGGAGGAGGAGGAGGAGAGGAGAGAGGAGAGGAGGAGGAGGAGGAGGAGGAGGCCGTCGGGGCCGTCGCGGGGCGATCTCTGGACCTCTCCGGCGCAGGCCGTGCTGCCGTCGCCGCGCCGTGCGGCCGCACGGCCGCCCAAGCCCGGGCTTCCGGCGGCGACGGAAGGGGCGAGTAGCCCCCTCCTCCTCCTCCTCCTCCTCCTCCTCCTCCTCCTCCTCCTCCTCCTCCTCCTCCTCCTATTCCTCCTGCTCCTCCTGCACGCATTCGCCCGGGAGTTTCTTGGATGCTACGGATCATCGGCGCACCTGGCCACGCGTATTGCTCTCCCCAGGGCCATTCGCCCCGATCGTCGCCTCCGAGCGATGGGGTGCAAAACAGGACGAGGCAGCACACAGAGTGATGGGCCCATTGTCTACCGCCACCCATTATGTGCAGGACGGGGGAGAAGGGAGGACAGGAAGGTCCTCCTCCTCTCCCCCATCCTCCTCCTCCTTCTCCCTCTCCTGCCCATGACAGTGGTGGCGGAAAATCGGCCCGTCACAGAAGGGGGCGATGCGAGGAAGAGGGTGGCCGAGGAGTCGCCGAGGAGGGGAGACAGGCCCAAGGGCAAAGCACGTGACAGGCAGCGCACACATCTGCCACCCACTGCGCGTGGCTCTGCACGCTCTGCTCCTCCCCCTCGGGGGCGCCGTGGGTCGTCTCGGACGGATCTGTTGGCAGTCGCCGGCCGCCCTGGGCTCGCGAGGCCCTCTTCGAGGCGTCGTGGACGCCGTGCTCGAGGCCGCCTGCGCTCGCTCGGCCGTCCGTGGGCGTCCGTCTGCCAGAATCCCTGGGGGCCACCTGAGCGGCCAGGGGCCGGAGCCCTCCCCAGGCAGGAGGGAGGAGGAGGAGGAGGAGGAGGAGGAGGAGGAGGAGGAGGAGGAGGAGGAGGGAGGAGGAGGAGGAGGAGGAGGAGGAGGAGGAGAGGAGGAGGAGGAGGAGGAGAGGAGGAGGAGGAAGGAGGAGGGGAGGTGGAGGGGGAGGAGGAGGAGGAGTGAGGAGAGGAGGACGGAGGGGAGAGGAGGAGGAAGGAGGAGGAGGAGGAGGAGTGGGGGGGGGGGGAGGGGCGGGGGACAGGGGGAGGAGGAGAGGAGGAGGAGAGGGAGGAGGAGGAGGAGGAGGAGAGGAGGAGAGGAGTAGGAGGCCAGACGAGACAAGAGAGAACGAGGACGAGACGAGGAGGAGAGGAGAGGAGGAGGAGAGGAGGAGAGGTGGAGGGGAGGGGAGGGGAGGGGAGGGGAGGGAGGGGGAGGGGGGGGAGGGGAAGAGGAGGAGGGAGGAGGGGAGAGGGGAGAGGAGGAGGAGGAGGAAGAGGAGAGGAGAGCGGAGAGGAGGAGAGGAGGAGGTAGGAGGAGGAGGAGGAGGAGGAGGGGGAGGAGGAGGAGCAGAGGAGGAGGAGAGAGGGGAGAGGGAGGAGGAGGGAGAGAGAGGAGGGAGGAAGGAGGAGGGAGGGAGGGGAGGGGAGAGGGGGAGGGAGGGAGGGGGAGGGGAGGGATGAGGAGAAGAGGGAGGAGGAGGAGGAGGAGAGGAGGAGAGGAGGAGGAGGAGGGAAGGAGGAGGAGAGAGGACGAGGACGAGGACGAGACGAGGACAGGAGGGAGGATCACACACAGACGCAATTAGTCGACGATGCCCCAGAGCATATGGAAACACGTGTGACGTGGGGGGGGGGCAACGAACCTCCAGAAATATGTAACACTATAGGGGAATCCTGGGATGTGTGTCTATATGAATTTGCGTTTGTGCCTGGGCCCCTTTTTTAACCATGTTTGCACGCTGGTCTTTGAAAGTGCATAGGTATTGGGGGGCTCGCAGATCCCAGTCTACTTTAGCCATCTTCCTATTTCGAGAGTCGAATGGTTTTTCCTCTTATCTTTTCTTCAGGGGGCGAGAGGAAGCCCAACGTACTTCCAACGCCTTTCTACTTCGCGGCTCTTCTTACAGTGGGGGGCGCGCATTAAGACACCATCTGAGTGTGTCAGGGTACCCCGGGTTTCCTCGTTCCGCGCGCTGCGCGGTGACTTCCCGCGGCCGTCAAAGAAGCTGATTCGTTCAGGGTGTTCCAGGTTTCCCCTCAGGTGCACCTCGCTCACGGGTTATCAGGGTTGAGTTTCTTGCCAAGGTTTCTTGCGGCCGCGCCCGTACTGACCTTCTTCCGACCGACGGGTAATAGAATGAGACTGGAGAGGTCAGAGACACGGACAAGACAAGGCAGGCATAACCCAAGACAGCAGCCCAGCAAGCAGCAGCTCTCAGAGCCTTGCGTCCAAAGGGGGCCAGCTGACGAATTGGATGTTCATTGACGGCGGGCTCGTGTGGGCCCTGAGAGCTCACGAACGCATTTGGTTTCGTTCTGGGACAGAGGGGTCTGGGGCGAGAGATTTGGGACACAGCGAGCTCGGAGCAGACTGCCTGACGAAAACCAGCCCGCAGGCGTTCATATTAGTTCACACTGGGCGCTGGCCGAAGTTTCAGACGACTCGCAGCAAGTTGAGATGCTCGGGTGCTGATAGAAGTGGAGGAGGAGGATAAGGAGGTTGAGAAGGAGGAGGAGGAGGAGGAGGAGGAGGAGGAGGAGGAGGAGGAGCAGGGGGAGAAGGAGGAGGAGGAGGTAGAGGAGGAGGAGGAGGAGGAGGAGGAGGAGGAGGAGGAGGAGAAGGAAGAGGAGGAGGAGGAGGTGGAGAAAGGAGGAGGAGGAGGAGGAGGAGGAGGAGGAGGGGGAGGCGGGGGAAAGGAGTAGGAAGAGGAAGAGGAGGATGTGGAGGGGCCAAGGCGCCCCCAGTTTTTCGATCCATTTTGGAGACCCCTCGTGTGGGGGGTGCTCGGAGGCCGTGAGGGCCTGGACTTCAAGGGATCGTTTTCTTATGAATTTGCCCACCGGCGCGGGCCCTCGCACCCACTCACCCCTAGATCTTGGCTGTTTGTGGCGCCCGTCTCAAGCAGGTGGAGTCTCCCCCATAGGACGCACTGCTGCAAACAGTCGCGTTACGCAGATCTCCGGAGCCAGACTCTCCCCCCTCAATGCCCAAACGCCGAATACGACAACGTCTGCCTTGCGACGCCCGGGATACCATCGAGGAGCATGTTGGGGGTCATCTTGCGAAGAAATTCAGGCACGAAGCCGAAAAATATACGGGAAATTGACGTCCGAGCGGTGGCGAGGAGATGATGCCCGCGCGCAGACACGTCACTGTGTTCACCGCTGATGTGCGCTGATGTCGACCCCGAGGCTCTTGCAGTGGTCCTGTGGACGTCTAAGGCGTCCAGGCAGCAGGCCGGCCCGTCCAGAAAGTGCTCGGTGAGGCGCAGTGGCAGGGACAGATCCGTGCAGCGACCCCCAGGGGACCGAGGAGTTGGAGGAGGAGGGTTTTGGACAGGAGGACGCGTTGCAGCCAGCACGGATCCGGCCCTCACAGGAGGAGGCCGAGCGCAAGGCGGAGGCCGAGCGCCAGGCGGAGGCCGAGCGCAAGGCGGAGGCCGAGCTCAAGGCGGAGGAAGAGCGCAAGGCGGAGGAAGAACGCAAGGCGGAGGAAGAGCGCAAGGCGGAGGAAGAGCGCAAGGCGGAGGAAGAGCGCAAGGCGGAGGAAGAGCGCAAGGCGGAGGCCGAGCGCAAGGCGGAGATCGAGCGTTTGGCGAAGGAATGGGGGCCGCGGGTGGCATCTATTATGCTCGTACGTGTCTTCGGGAGGCTGGGGAACGACGTTGCGATTGGCATACAAATCGGCATTACCAGTGGCAGGCTGCTTTTCAGTCCAAGGAGTTTTTGAGGATCGGAGACGGAGTCGGTGTGGTGTTGTGTATCTTTTTTCGTTTCCTGGGGGAACAGCGAAAAAGGTGTACAGGGTCGGAGAAAGTGGTTGTTTCCTTAAACATGTATGGAGTTATAGCTCTCTTTCTATATATATATATATATATATATCCCCTCTCTCTCTCTTTTTCTCGCTTCCTCGATATACGTTTGTACTATGGCCTTCGGACCATCCCGCAACCGAGCCTAGAGCAACGCATCCGTAGAAATACTGGCAAGACGCTGGGATCAGTGCTGTTCGTTGGGTCTCTTCTTTCAAAATGACTGAGGAGGAAGTACAAGGCATGATGAGGAGGAGTAGAGGATGGAAACGGATTTGGAGGATACCCTGGAAGACCAGGAAGAGAAGGAGGAGGAGGAGAGGAGCTGGTGAAGCAGGGCTTTGCAAAGGAGGGGGTGCTACAGCCAATGTCGGGAAACAACACGCTCTCGCAGGAAGAGGTCGAGCGCAAGGCGGAGGCCGAGCGCAAGGCAGAGGCCGAGCGCAAGGCGGAGGAAGAGCGCAAGGCGGAGGAAGAGCGCAAGGCGGAGGGCGAGCGCAAGGCGGAGGACGAGCGCAAGGCGGAGGCCGAGCACAAGGCGTCCCCCTCGAAGTTGGGGATGGTGAGGGTAGTATGCATCTGGACGGGACTGCAATCTTCATGTCACATGGTTTTGAACAGAACACACACAACAAAACATTCGTTTGGGGAGAAAGCGCTTGGCGTTCATGGGCTGCGTCCCTTTGAGGCCTCTTGAGGCCCTCCTGGGGCCTCCTGGGGCCCTCTTGGGGCTTCCTGGGGGTTCCTGCGAGCCTTCTGCAGGGCTCCGAGGGGCGTCTTGGGTGCCTCCGGGTGCCTCTTGGGGGCCTCTGCGGGCATCTATGGGACCTCTCCGTCTTGGGGCCCTCTCTGGGCAGTTGTAGAGTCTTCTTTGGGTGCTGAATGACCTTCTTGGAGGTCTATGTGGCAGTCTTGGGGATCGCTTAGGTCGTCTTGTTGGCCTCTCGGGGGCCTCTTGTGCCGTATTGAGGCGATGTTGAGCGCTAGGGGGCTGTCTTGGAGCGTCGTAAGCCTGGAAAGGCGAGACCGCTAGAATCAGTGAAATATCAAATTGAGATCTGTCAGTTGAACCTCCTCCAGCTCCTCTTGAGCACCCTTGGGGCGTCATGGGGGCCTCTTGGGACATCTGGAGGACATCTTGGGCCATCTTGGCCGTCTTGTAGGCGTGTTGGAGTCGTTCTGGAGGCCTTCTTGTTTGTTTTGGGGAGACTGTTTGTGGATGCCGAGGCCTTGTCGGATGGCCGGCGGGAGTACGGCCGATCACCGCCGCTGCCTGCCTTTTTGGAAGCGCCCGTGGAACCAGGGTATGGCCAGGCTATTGGCCAGGCTACAGTCGGGGCCCTGAAGAAGGAACCCTTTCCGTTGGGGAGGGGCTCCGCGTTCCTGAAGTGTGTCACAGCTTGCCTCAGGTTTTCCTATGTTCTCGATAGGAAATCGAAGCTGAACTTATGGAAAAAAGGAGCCTCGTTTCTTATTCAGGGTTCCTTAGGTCAACGCCCCGACTGTATTGGGTTATGCGATCCCCGAGCCGTTGTGAGAACCCTGCGGGGAGCACGCGGGTTCGGTAGCAGATCATGGGAGTCGTGTGTGTCTTCGCAGTTTCGACTTTGGAGCGCATTCGCGTGCGCTACCGTCTGGCCGTCGATGAGAGAGCGCCGATGTAGGGCCGATTCGCGTCGATTTGGCGTCGATTAGCGCCGATTTGGCCTCGATTGGCGTCGCTTGGTGTCGATTCGCAAGAGCCGGCAAGACGGCATGCGAGGCTCCTATGCGTTGCCACCGGACGTTGGGGGGAGACGAAGAGGCGAGGTCTCTTCGGGCTTTCCGGGAGGCCCTTCTCGGAGGCCTCGTGAGTCGCACTGGCTCCAGGAGGCATCTCGGGGGCCTCTTGGGCCGTCCTGGAGGCTTCGTGGGCGCTCTGGGGGCGATCTCGGGGGCCTCCTGGGCCGTCTTTGGGCCGTTCCCGAAGGAAACACCGCAGGCGAACACGATGCTTCGAGCTTCTGCAGGCTTTGAAAAAGAAGGGCCAACAACTGCCTAATTAACCTTTGGCGCGCCGCGCAGCCCTGTGGCAGGCCAGCGGGGAGCGGCGGCGGAGGAGGAGGAGGAGGAGGCCTCGTGGTCCTCTTGTACGTTTCTTGGGCTGTCTTGAGGCTCTCCGTCTTGGCGCTCTCTTAGGAGCCTCCTGTGGCATCTTGGAGCGATCATGGGGGCATGTACGGGGAACCGGGGCTATGCTTGCCTCTTTGAGCCCTCCTTACGGGTGCTCTTGGGGCTCTGCTGGGGCATTTTGTGGGCCTCTCGGGCAGTCTTGGAACCACACAGGGCCGTCTTGAAGCTAGCTGTCTAGCACCGCTCCAGGACCTTTTCTGGCCATCTGAGGCGGTTCGTGAAACACGTGTCCGAAAGCGCCGCAGAGCTCCCAGGAGTGCCTGGACAATTTAATTTGAAACTTTTGCACCTCATTGACCTCTCAGGGCTGCAGCCTTGGGTCATTACACCAAGTTCTGAAGGCATGGTGGCGAATATCAGAGCGAGGGGGCCGAACGGTATTCCACTGTCCTTGGGTGCGTGGCTGAAGTGGGCCCCGGCGGTGTGGATTGCTGTTGCGTTGCGTTGTTGCGTTGTTGTGTCGTCCTTGCTCGCGACCAACCCGCGACCATCCGCGACCCACCCGCGACCACCCCGCCACACACCCCGCGCTTTGACGAAGCAATCGACGCCTGCTGCGGGCTCGTTGTGCAAGGTGTAAAATTAAGGCGATGCTGGTACCGACCGCTTCCGGTGAAGTTCCCTGTGGGGCCACGAAATGTGTGAGATGTGTGCCGCAATGGGCGCTTTGGCGCCATGCGAGCGCAGCCACTGGAACCTTCGGTCGAGCCCGTTCATGGGGCCATGAAACGTGCGAGGGATATGCCGAATTGGGCGCGGGGGTGCCATGATGGCGCTGCCACTGGGGCCTTAGGTGGAGCTCCCGAGTGGGCCACGAAGCGTGTGAGGGGTGTGCCGGATTGGTCGGGGTGGTGCCATGCGGTTTGTTGCCGCCGGGGTTTTCGGTGGAGCCCCTTATTGAATCGCTTCGCTCATTCCGCCGGTCCGTGATATGGCATCGCTGGTTTTTGTCTGTGTGTTCGTTGCCCATGTTGCGCTCTTGGACGCGTTGCGTGGGGAGTTTTGATGGTGAAGCAGTTCCCTGGGGGTCGTCTCTCGATGGGGCGAAATAGAGTCGTCGTCAAGATGCTTCTTTGGGGGGCCTCTTGGGGTCTGTTGAGAGGCCGTTCGGGGGCGCCTGGGAGACATGTTTGAAGCCTTCTGGGGCTTCGTTTGGGCCTCCTGGGAGTCTCCTGGGGCCTCTTGGCGACATCTTGGGGCCTCTTGGAGGCCTCTTGGGGCCTCTTTGGGACCTCCTGGGCGCCTTCTGGGACGGAGGGCTCCATTTTTGAGTTCTCGGTATCCCTCCTGAGTCCCTCTTGGGCCCGTCTTGGGGCCTCTTGGTCCGTCTTGGGCGGCACTTGGGCCGTCTTGAGGGCTCTCTTGGGTCGTTTCGGCGCCGTCTTGGGAGCTTCGTGGGCCGTCTTGGAGCGGTCTTGGGGGCCTCTTGGGCCGTCTTGGAGCGTCCGGAAGCCGAAAAAGCCAGAACACAAAAAACATCGAAAAAACAAATGAAAATCAACGATTTTGGCCTCTTGGGGCTCTCTTCGGAGGCCTCTTGGAAGGCTCTTGGGGCGTCTTGGAGGCCTCTTGGGCTGTCTTGGGGGCCTTTTGGGCCGTCTTGGGGTCATCTTCGGCGTCTTCGAGCGCTCTTTGGGCGTCTCGGGGGCCTCTTGGGCAGTCTTGGGGGCCTCTTGGGGCACTCTGAGCGCGCTCT